TTCCTTCCTTCCTTCCTTCCTTCCTTCCTTCCTTCCTTCCTTCCTTCTCTCTCTTTCTTTCCTTTCTTCCTTCCTTTCTTTCCTTTCCTTTCCTTTCTTTCTCTTTTCCTTTTTTTTTGTTATTGTTATCTAAAGTCAAGGTTATATGATCTATCACCTACTTTCATAAAATCTTGAATAAACTTGTACTTACAGAAGTTTAATGACCTCAGATTTGACATATTCCTCATATATGCCGGAATTTTGAAATGCATTTAACATCTGACAAAAAGAAAAAAAGAGTCACCATGTATGTTTCAATCAAATTTATGATAAAATTAATAAAAGAAATCTCTGATTTACCTTAGTCTCAATATCTTTGCTTAGATTTGTGCTGGCTTGTGAACCTGCATTTTCACAATTATCATTGTATGTGACTCCAGAAATATGAAAATCACCTTGATAATAGTAAATCTTGTCTGTGAAATTAAAAAAAGAAACTCAAAGAATTTTAAAGTGGGAAGTGGCTTTTTTTTCAAGCATATATATAATTTTACTTTAAGTTCTGGGGTATATGTGCAAACCTTGCAGGATCGTTACATAGGTATACACATGCCATGGTGGTTTGTTGGGGTATGGGGGGCTAGGGAAGGGATAGTAGGGGCTGTGGAGATTGGAAAGGAATCCCCTTAGGAGAAATACCTAGTGTAGGTGATGACGGGATGGAGGGAAGTGGCTTTAAAACCATTTATACCTCTCTTTCAACATTCAACCCAGCTTTAGAAATAATCCAAGGGAGAGAGAAAAAGGAGGGGAATGAACAATCATTTATTCTAGAAATGGCAACTTCACATCATTCATTCAATGACCCCCCCTTTCTCTTTTATGTGACAATAGAGATTACTGTCCTGCTAAGTCCAGATATACTCTCAGTACCCTCCTCAAAACAGCAATGCCACTAACAATCCACCTGAGTATGCAGTAAAGATGAAACACTTTTATATGTATAGTCTAAAATCAGCCTAGCAATTACCCAATTATGTTTCTAAGCATGTCTGATACAGGAAACATATAAACATCAGTCACCCTTCACTTTCTGGATGATATACACTGTCTTGTACCTTTTTGCATGCCCTTTGCCTGTCGGCCTGGTTTCCATTCCTTGAGGTTATTGCTGGAGGACTCCATGGTGACCTTTTATTTCCCTACGGTATATGATGGGTGGTGCTTGGTGTGAGTCACAAGGTCTCACATCCCTGTCTTTTCCTTTCCCCAAATATAAACTGCTTCACCTGATACATTAGGTCACCATAATTTAAAAAACGTCAAGCCTTTTAAAAATAGGAACCACCCAAATGTGATGGAGCATGCATATAGTCCCAGCACTTTTTGAAATTGAGGTAGGAGGATTGCTTGAGTCTGGGAGTTCAAGATCAGCCTGGGCAACAAAGTGAGGCCCTGTCTCTACAAAAAATATTAAAAATTTGCTGGGCACAGTGGCATGTGCTGGTAGTCCCAGCTATGGAGGAAGCTGAAGTGGGAGAATTGCTGGAGCCCAGGAGTTCAAGGCTACACTGAGCTGTGATTGCACCACTGCACTGCAGCCTAGGTGACAGAGTGAAGCCCCCATCTTTAAAAAAAAAAAAAAAAAAGGAACTAATATGAAGCCATATCCTGTTTTGGTTAAGTACTCCAAGACCCTCTTCTTTCTACTATTTTATCATTTTCATCTGTGAAGTGTGTCACCAAATTAACTAAAGTAAATAATTAGAATCAGAATCTGCTAACTTTGTGTTAAATCCACAATACTGAACCAGGATATTTACAAGTAGGTAGATTAACTTGTCAAAAGTCTCAAAAGTCATGCCCAGATTCAGAGAAACCATGATGTTTAGATTTCTGATTCCAGTTATAATTTTACTGAAGAATTTTATCAGTTTAAGATGCCATTTTAAAATTAATTTTTGCTTGATTATTGTTATGGATGGAATGTGTCCCTTCCAAAATTCACATATTGAACCCCTAAACACCAGTGTGACTATGTTTGGAGACATGATCTTAAATGGGGGAATTATGGTTAAATGAGATCATAAGGGTGAGACACGAATCTAATAGGACTACTGTCTTTGCAAGAAGAGAGAAAGACACCAGATCTCTCCCTAACACACACTCACTTCACTCCATCTCCCAAAATACACACAGAGGAAAGGTCACGGAAAGGCACAATGAGAATTCAGCTATTTGCAAGTCAGGAAAAGAGGTCTCTCCAGAAACCAACCAGCACATTGGTCTTAAACATCCAGTCTCTAAGATTGTGAAAAAAGAAAAAAAAAAAATGTCTACTGTTTAACCTAGCCAGTCTGTGGATTTTGTTAGGGTAGCTTGAGCTAATATAATTATTTAGGTAAACTGAATAGGAATCTATTGTATATTCTATACTGTGGTCAGTGATTTTCAGTTTTGCAGACATAGCAATAGTAATCTTTATATAGTAAACTGCCCTCCATTTCAAAGTTTATTAAGTCTTTTTTCTTAAGATAGGCATATTTTATTACCTCTCTAAAACACTGCTTTATACTAATAGATTGTAACACTACCTATACATCATAATCTTCCAAAGGGCATGCATGGAAGGTCCTGCCCCAGTCCAGCTGAATCAGCTAACCTAAGGGTAGGGCCTAGGGAATGAATACTACTTCAAAAGAGCTCGACAGGTGATTCTGAGAAGAAGCTAGGGTTTGGAACTATTAGATAAACTATATGAAGGATTATGAAATTGTTTATACATGTGCATGTAAGCTTTCGGAAATAGCATTGTTAAGTAAAACAGTTGAGAAAGAGATGAACCAAAGTCATTTCTAGAATAATGATCTTTGTGAAATACTTATCTCTGAATTAACCTAAAAAGTGGAAACTCAACTCAAAAGTTTAAAAAAGTTGATTGAGAAATAATAGACGTATTTAGACAGGGAAACTAATTTCATACCACTGAAATGAGGGATTATAATACCTGTCATCCAGCTAATTTCATACCAATCAAATGAGAGATTACAATAGCTGTTATACAGCTTAAGTTGTTCTCAATATTAACAAATATCATATTTGTTCCTAAGCCAGAGTCCTAGAGCAAACCCATCTTTCAAACTGACTTCAAACAACATTTACCATAGAGCCTGTATCCATTTTTACTCCACAAGTAGTACAGTTCAAGTAATTTAAGTAATTTAAGCTGCTCTAGCCTTATATCTGAAATAGTGTGTGGTTGACCATGTAGAGACATTCAAGGGTGAATTCTTGTCCCATGCACCTCCTGCTCCAGCCAGGGTGCTGTAGCTCCCCTTTGTACCACTCCTTTCCATTAAGGCATTGCTTCCCCAGAAAGGGAACCTGTTAAGATGCAAACTGTATTTTGAAAAAAAAAAAAGATTTATTCACAAGGGCTTGATTTTGAAAACTCAGAGCACTGTCCTTAAGGAAATTATGTGAAGAATGTTATTTTTTAATGAGTAGAGGAAAAGAGAGATTTCCTCTGCTCATTTTTAATGAGTAGAGGAAAAGAACGATACAGATTCTGAAAATTTCATGGATAGATATGGCAGACAGGAGAATGAGCACCTACCACTCTTCTGAAAGACAGGACTTAAGAGGACTGAGGAGAAACAAAGGAAAAGAAGCCAGGTTGAAAGAAGCAGTGGAATTTTTGCTAAGTCAGCCAAAATTTGTCTACATTGCATTCTTGTATGGGGTTATATATTTCAGAGATATAAAACTTAGAAAAATCATGATAAAGTAGTATAATTACTCAAACTATTAAGTATATTAATATTAAGCTTTTAAGTGAGCTATGCTACTTAAAAGCTGTGCTATCAAGCAAGTCACTTGACTTTTCTGAGCCTCAGTGTACTGTATGTGAAAATAAGGATAGTAAAACCTTTCATTTCTAGCTCACAGGATTGTTGTGAAGATAAAGTGAAATAATGGATGTCAAATTTATTTTAAAACATTAATTACACAAGTTTAAGGACTTATTTTTCAGACAGGTAAAAATAAATTGGAAACTAAGTTTTGTGAGTAAACTGTTAATAAAAGTTTTAAAAATAAAGCCATGTTTATACAAACATTTAGCCATTCAACCATGCTTGACTATCTACTAACAAAAGAGTTATTTGTAGATTTTTCGTTGCTGCTTACTCATCATATCTTAATAACCAATAGCAGAAGTGAGTCAAGAAGAGAAGGAATTTCTAAAGTTTGGAATATATTTACTACAGGATGTAACAATTCAACTACAAGACTACTATAAGCTCCTTTAATGACAATGAATGCTGATATCAATGTATTGAATATTTCAGTCTTGCTCATATCGTCATAGTTGGTGATATACTTTATAAGGAGGCCTCTGATTCAAAAAACCTTATAAACTTCTGAGTCAAAATAAGCTATGTTGAAATAAAATAGTAAGTAAATAAGAAAACTCCCAAGAAGAAATTTAATATTCATGTTGTTTCTTGTCAATTTTTAAAACTAAAAGATTTATAACAAGGATGAAAATTGAAAATAATCAATACTGACCAACTGCCAGAAAATGAACAAGAAGACCAATAGTTACTCCCAAGATTGCCGCCACTCCAAGAAAAATAAGGATTGTAGTCCATAGTGGCCAAGATCTTTGGGAAGGTATGCTGTGCCTATGAAAGAGAAAAAAAAATGGTTCAAATCAGATAATAACAATCTAAATCTACCTGCCTCTCTTTCAATTCACGCTACATGAATTATAATCGACACATTAGTCCTTTATGCTAGTTGAAAACACAGAAATCTCAAATGCCTCAAAGAGGGCAGACTCTCAGGCTCATTCACTTAACAAATTACTGTTGAGCCCAGGTTAGTTGCTGGAAATATATCAGTGAGCAAAATAGACGTGATTTGTGTCCTCACGTTGCTGAAGAAAAATCTACTTCTTGTTTTTATTTTTTAAATTAAAGCAGATTACAAAACATTAGTTGTAGTCTGATTGTATTTTTGTAAACTATAGTCATATCATGCACATGGACATACAAAGACTTATAGACACAATTAAATACATAATATAACAAGTTTCAATTAAAAGTTTGATAAATGTGGAAGGAAATACCATGACATCAACTGTAGTAATTGCTATGTAACAAAATTATAGGTTTTTTTAATTTACTTTTAACTGTATTTTCTAATTTTTCTTTTTCTTTTTTTTGAGACAGGATCTCACTCTCACCCAGGCTGGAGTACAGTAGTACATTCTCAGCTTATTGCAACCTCTGCCCCCTGGGCTCAAGTGAGCCTCCCACCTCAGCCTCCTGAGTATCTGGGACCACAGGCATGTACTACCACACCTAGCTATTTTTTATATTTTTTAAATAGAGTCAGGGGTCTCACCATGTTACCCAGGCTGTTCTCTAACTCCTGAGCTCAGGCAATCTGCCCACCTCAGCCTCCCAAAGTACTGGGATTACAAGTGCGAGGCACTGCTCCGAGCCTATTTTCAAGAATGTTTCTACAACAAATGTAAATTATTTGCATAATATAAATTAATAGATAAGCTAGTTTTATTATCAATCAATTAGATGAAAGAGAATTAGAAAATATGGTAGTTCAGCATCTACAGATAAGCAGTTTATAGTTACATTATATGGCCACACTAAGCTTAATCTACATAAAGTTGGGACCCTACTTATTTTTCACATCTTGAGAGATGATGTTGTATAATTGTCCATTGGAGGAAAGGCTGTAACATAAACATTCATGTTTTCAAATTCAAAACATCCTCAGTTGTTTCCTCAATCTCTCTAGTCTGCAACGTTCTAAATAAACCTTCCAAAACAGAAGCGTTTGTAATAAGGGAACATATTTGGTGAATTACATATTCCCTATTAATATGTGAACCTTTTTGTTCTCATCCCATCCAGAACCAATTGACTTCTAGGCAGATAAGTTTTTGTTTTTGTTTTTAGCATTACCTTATACAACTGTGCAACTCCACCCAATCTTGTTTCCTCTTCAGCCTATTTTGCATTCTTAATCCTACCGCTTCCTTATACCTCTTTGTCTCTCTTGACTTGTTAATTAGTGTTTCCCAGAACCAACATTATTTGTGAAAACTCTTCAAAGAAACTCCTTATTTCAGACATATTCCATGTATGTTTTCATACCAGAATTCTGTTGTTTAATATCAGCCTCGGAGAAAAAAAGCCTATTCAGGCATAGAGTTTTTAATACAGTATTTATAACTTTATTAATATTTGATAACATTTTTCTTTTAATGACTGTAAAACTGCACTGTGACAGTAAGGTCTCAAATTTGTTTTGGATTAGCTAGTTATAACAATCTGGTAGCTTAGTCTTTTCGAGACATGCATATTAGCCTAAGAGACTAAACATTATGTAGACTACATAATTATTCTAAGTTCTGAGGTGGTTTCAAAATAATCTCTGCTTTACAGCTTAAAAGAGGTTTTTCTCTAAAAGCTCCTTTTCGATGCTCTGAAGATTTCTGAAAAATACATATTATTAACTACAGCTCTGATATGACATTTTCCCCCTCACATGGCTTTCTCTTGTCAAAAATAATTTAAAATATTATTTTATATCTAAAGATTACAGAAACTTTGTGATTAATGCAACCCTTCCTCTAAATGTGATTCATAGCCTCTAGGAATTTATTACTATTTTTGAATAATAGCTGCACTTGTTAAAATGATGTTCTAAATATCAAAAAAAGTCCATTCATGAAACAGTTTACTCTCATTTACCAAATTAATTTTTGGCCAAGTTTTTTCCAAAGGTAGGCATTTGCATTACAAAATGAATCCTTCATTTAGCAAAGAAAATAGGTTAAAAATGAATCTTCAAGGAATTTAACCAACTTCACGTGCTTAACTAAACTATAATTGCCTCACCTTTAAAATTAATCTACTTCAAGTAAGAGCTCATTGCTGGCTACCTGGAGTGGCTCATGCCTGTAATCCCAGCACTTTGGGAGGCTGAGGTAGGCAGATCACTTGAGGTCAGGGGTTTGAGATCAGCCTGACCAACATGGTGAAACCCCATCTCTACCAAAAACCACAAAAATCAGCTGGGTGTGGTGGCAAGCACCAAGTAGTCCTAGCTACTTGGGAGGCTGAGGCACAAAAATCACTTGAACCTGATTGCTTCTCAGGGCAAAAAAACAAAGTAAAGCTCATTGCCATTCTAGCATAACTATTTGCCTTAATCAACTTGCAATAATGATGTTAATCAAAATGATGGTAAGTACATTACCTATGATTTTAAAACAATCTCATTATAAGTCTTTCCTTACAGTCCATGCCAAGTATCACTTTCTAGGTTAGATTTCCTTTTAGCCACTTTTGGGCATTGCTTTAGGAGTTAAACAGCAAAGCATTAAAAAATATATGGTTTTCATTTATTAGAACTGTATTTATAAACCATTTGAATTATATGCAACTGAATTCTCTCACATAATGAAAAGTGTTAAAGCATGATTCTGGTGCAAAATTCTCCAAATTTTAGAGAGATGAAACTTTAGAAAACTTTAAATCATTAGAATGAACATTTTGCATAAGGAGCAAAGAAGTGTAATAATCAAATGGGTAACAGCCTCTATCCTCAGTTTCTCCTGGAACTTTGGAAAAAGGAGAGTCCACAGAAAGGAACTCATTTGAAAATTTATGAAGATTTGAGAAGAACCTGCAGTTTGCCAGTTGCTAATTCAGAATCTATAATGTAAAGTACATTATTCCAAAATCTATAATGGCATTTATAGTTTTATTATTCCCAAGGAAACCTTTTAATATTATAAAATTTGATTTCAGTTACATTAATAGAGAATGAAAATGGTAGTGTTCTTATGCGTGATTATAAAAGAAATCTTATGCCTCATTTTCTCAAGATTTCAGATCAATTGTATATTTATATTTTTTGTCAGTAAGCAAAATTTTGCTGAATTATTATTTTTTTTAACTTTCGGAAACTTTCCCAGAGACTTCAAAGGGTCTTTAGACCTCAACAAGTGTTTCTTGACAGTGTCCAGAAATAAAAACTAAATTATAAAAAGCAACCAATTAACAAAATACTAGAACACACTTAATGGCAAGTTGCTAAATTTTTCAAACTTACTCTCCCCAATGAAATCCCTTTACCTGTACATAATGTTCTAATTGTTGTGGCAGTATCAGGTATAATGGCGGCAGTGATGATGATGAAGGTAATGTTGATGATGATGCTGGTAATAGTGATGATAAAAGTTAGAACCTTCTGATGTAGCTTTTGACTTCTGTGCTATATTCAGTGTTGGTTGCTTGGTTTTTATAGGCTGGGTAAGATGTAGAGAACAACTAAGATGAAACTTGTCTGACAAGTGTTAATGACTGTCACATTTCTATAGTTTCAAAGTTTCAAGATAGGAGTCATCCCAAGAATGACAAATTTCCTTGACTTGATGATATAGAAAAAACTATAGCCCAGTTTGGTCACCTAAAATGTATACCCAGGAAACAGCTTTGTGGCATACAGGGATAATCCTAACTCTGATTTTACCAATTCCATTATACTGGCTTGTCCCTTCTTAATTGAAGCAAACTATAACTAGTTAAAAGTTTCTGACAAATGTCTTTTTACAATATGTCAATTATAATATGAAAAATGTTGCCATCATTCTCATGCAAATGAAATTCTATTTCATTGTGGTTTGCATTTGCTTTTCCTTAATTACCTGTGAGAATAATCATTTCACATATTTTGAGGGAATTTGTATTTTCTCTTTTGAGAATTCTAAGTTTAGCTTTTCTTCAACAGGCAGCATATGGTAAGAAAAAAAATGTAGTGTTATTCTTTTTCTAATGAGTTGCTAATCTTTTCTTCTAATAGATATATGTGAGTTCCTTATATGTTCTGGATATTAATGTATCATTATACTGGATATTAACCAGTTATGTTCACCTATTTATTAATCACCTGTTCTTAGGGTGCAGCTTGACATTGCATTGTGTAAGAAGATTTTTTTCATCTACAGGGGATTTTCTTATTCTTAGCAGTTTAGTTGATCATATTTTTCCCTTATATTTTGTGCTATGAACCATAAAATGTTAAAAAATCTTAATCACCTTGATTTCTTTGATGTTTTCATTTCTTTTCATCTAAAATTTAAAGTTACTTTTTTATGTTCAGGTCTTACAAAAATTCAAGAATTTTGTAATGACATGAAATGATAATTTAATTTTATATTTTCTTAATTTTAAATTATTTTTTACTAATAGCCTGTTTTCCAAGGCCTTTTTATTGCAGAATTCATCTTTTCTCTACTGATGTGTAATACCTCCTATGTCATATACAAAACAATCTGCGTATTTCTTAGCTCTCTATTCTGTTCCATTCGTCTATTAATCTTTCCTTCTGTCAATATTAAATAGTTTTAATACCCATAGATCAGGAGTTCCCATGCATTTTCTGTAAAGCACCAGATAGTAAACATTTGAGGCTTTGTAGGCCATACGGTCTCCATTGCAACTATTAAATTTTACCATTGCAGCACAAAAATAGCCAAAAATACTAAGTAAAAAAATACATGTGGGCATAGCTGTTTTCTAGTATTTACTTATAAAAGCAGGTGGTGAGTCAGATTTGGTCCATGGGCTGTGGTTTTCCAACCCCTACT